TCCACCACCTACTTGCCACCACCACCCGCCACCGCCACCGCCACCGCCACCGCCACTACCACCGCCACCCACTCGCTACCACCCACCACTCGTCACCATCACCTACCCACCCACCACCACCACCCGTCACCACCAGCTACCCACCGCCCACCGTCAACACTTTCCACCACCGTCTTCCGCCGCTACTTGCCACCACTTGCCATTTCTCACTTTTTTTTTTATATTTTTAAATTTTTTAAAACATTTTGTCAATTACCAAACGCGTTTGTAGTTTATATTTTTCTAAAAATAAACAAAAACCAATTTATAAAATTTTTATAAATATAAACTGAAAACGTAAACGTTACCAAACACACCCTTAGTATCTAGTTTAGAAAATTTGTTATTTTAGACTTCGTTTGGGAAGTGCATTAATTTTTTAACTTTTTAATTTGTTTTAATTATTTTAATTTGGGGTTAAAAAATTTAATTTAAGAAAGATTTTTGGTTTTTTTAGGCTCTATTTAGTTGTGATTTGTAAACGTGTTTCTACATGTGCGTTTGAGTATGATGTTTGGTTATTGTTTTAGAATCAATTTTCACGAGCTCTGTGCATCAGTCGCAAAATTTTGCCAAGGAGAAGACCGCCCGGACGTTCTTAGGGACTTCCACCCGGATGTCCTCCGCTGTACAGAATTTTTTTTTTGGCAATTGATTTATATAATTGGGAAAAATCTTTTCTGAATTTTTTTTAATTTTTAATGTGCTTTGAAATTTTGAGTTGAATGTTTAGTTATGAGTTGTAAATTTTTGTATCACATATCAAATATCACATCAACAATTCTCCACTCAAATCAAATATCTTTTCAAAAACTATTTTCAAAACTCTTTATCAAACAAATTTTCTACACTCAAATCATAATTCTACAACACACAAACTCAAAATATAACTCATATTCTCAAATCACATTTACAAAATATAACCAAACGTAGGTTTAGTTTTTTTTTAAAGAAAGAATGTAATGATTATGGATTGGATGTGATATTTTGTTTTATTAAACTAAAAAGTCTATTTTATTTTTTATAACTATTTTAGTCAAAAAATTCTCAAAACCAACTTTCCAAACAATGGTTTAATAAGTTATAATTTTTAATTATTTTAATAGGTTAAAATATTTATCTTTAGAAAGATAATTAATTTTTTAATTAAATGTGATATTTATAAATAAAAAAGTAAAATGATTATAAATTTAATGTAATATTTTATCTCATTAACTATTTAAATTTATTTTATCTGTTTATGAAATTTAACCCAAAAAAAAAATCCCAATGCCAATCAGTATGTTTGATTTCAGTTTTTTGAAAATTGAATTTTTTTATTTTTCATATTTTTTTGTTTTTAATAAATATTTTTTAAATTTTAAGTAATTTTTTTATTTTTTTTATGCACCTTACTTAGATGTATCTAAATAGTAAAATATTTGTAAAAAACTAAATAAATATACAAAAATACAAAAAAATGTACTAATTCTTTTTTTAATATTTTTTGGTATTTCGTGTATTTTTTTTAAAAAAATCACAAATATTATACTTTTTAAATTTATTTAGGTTATATGTGCCTAAAAATTAAAAAAAATGCTTAACATATAAAAAAAAAATTCATTAAAAATATTAAAATATAGAAAATAAAAAAGTAAGATTTTTTAAAAATCATTTTCTCAAAATCAGAATCAAACCAGCTGAATTGTCTTTTTGTTTGACTAGTGTGAGTTTGTAACTGTGATGTGAGCTAATCGATTTAGAGCATCTCCAATATATGCTCTATATCTTTAAATATAGAGGATCCTCTCTCAAAAATAATTTTAACCTATTCTCTATATCCTCTTCCATTTGGGAGGAGGATGAATTGATCCTCCAAATATAGAGGAAGGATGAAAAAATGGAGGATCACTCTAAAACACTATTCACTCTTTTTTGATCTTTAATTTTGTCTTTATAACTTAATATGTATATTCAATATTTATAAAATTAGTTTCATTAAAAAGATATTAATAATACCTTTAAAATGAGACCAATATTAATTATATTTAACAAAAAATTAAATAAAATAATTTAAATTTTAGAAAAAAATTGGATAAAATTTGAAAGCAAAGTGAAAAAATATTCAAATTTTTAAAGAAATAGAGATGTATGATTGGAGTTGTCATAAATAATAAGATTTTTTAAATTTATTTTTTGAATAAAAAATATTATTTTATTTCTTTATATTAGAGAAATAGAGATGTATGGTTCGGAGATGTTTACGAGGGAAAGGAAACAGGGCTTAGAGAAGAGAGAGAGTCTCTGTGAGCGCGCGCGTGTTGCGATGCAGCTGTATTTTTAAAAATAAAATAAAAAAATCTCTGGTGTCACGTGAAAGTAAGGTCAAGTTTGGCTACAAAGAAAAAAGTGTATTTATTTCATCTTTTTATCTTTTTTGAGTCACATCAATCAATATCTCCTCTCTATTTTTTTTACACATAATACAAAAAAAGTCAAAAAGTACACTTATTTAGTCTTTCCAAACTAGGCCTAATACTGGAAGGACATTATTGGGGAATTGTTTGTGAGTTTGAAAAATTTATTAAAAATTAAATATAATTGTTCTGAAGAAACAATGAAAAAAAAATACTGAAATAATTCTTTTTGAAATTTAATTAGGATTCATTTAAAATTAATTTTTTATTTTTTATAATAATATATATATAAAATAAAATAATAATAATATGATAATTTATAATAACTTTCGACTATTTTAATCACTCTCCAAATAAGGTCTAAATTTGCCACATAATATTTTTTTTCTTAACCAAAAATAAGAATAATTTAAGACATTGGAATATATGAGCTAAAAAAATTATCTATAGGACAATGAAATATATGGTTTCAAACTAAACTAAATTATTTAAAAAATATATATATATATATTTAAAAATCAGCATTTAATTTTTGTATTGCTTGGATTACATTTAAAATAAATTTAATTTATGCATTTTAAAATCTAAACACTGTGTATATTTTTATTATATATAATATTATCTCTAGCTTTTCGCTCATAATTCCCATAATATCTAGAAGGAAAATGCTAAATTT